CCCCCCGTTGATAATTCTCGATCGTTGGCACGCTGATAACAATTTTTTTTTTTAAATGGCACTTCATATCAAAAAGGTTGCCGACCCCTGATGTAGAGGTTTTGCTGCGTGACCCAGGATAAGTGGAGCTTTGTGTGTTGATATGAACCATTCAGGACCATAGGACTTTTTAACTTGTTTTTGAGTATACAACAAAAAGGAAAAAAACATGTTTATCCCACAATATGACAAATATTTAGAATAAGAGAAGTCTTATATTAAATATATGAAGTCAACAACATAAGCATTGGTGTTTAGTCCCAACTCTGTGAGCCTACCCGTTTGGTGGAAGGTATTCTCAGGCAGTCCTCTTCCGTGTTGAAGCCACTGACTACGCTGACCTCCGTGATGAAGTCGATGTATTCTTTATACTGAGACTTCTTACAATGCCGTCTCTGGTATTTTGCAAAGAAGTCAAAGAAGCAGCAGGGGAGGACGAAGTACCGACAGGAATAAGATGATCTGAAGAGAGAGAAAAGGAATATAATCATACCATGTGCCATCGAAAATAAGAATTACACATTGTTTGTCTTTTCAACAGAAAGGAAACAACAATCCATTCCTAGAGATTATCCTCTGTGTCACTTTGAAGTAGATTTCTCAGATTGAGGCTCAACATCGCCACCAGGTGGACGCTTTAAAACACACTAACTTTTGTACTGACTAACACACACACACACACACACACACACACATTCACACATCCTCTCTCTGCCCATAATGTTATTCCAAATTGGGGAGATCAGCTGGCCCTTCAGCTGCTGAGTGAGATTGTGTCTGCTGATGACTCGCCTGGCAGCTATAACGGGGATCCAGGGTGTGAGTTCGTCCGAATGGTTCCCAATCAGCCAGTCCGTATCCGGGAATAAGAAGCTCTCGCTGGGAGTAATTGCCTTTTCCTAAAATAGAAAAGACCCAGAAAGCACAAGAGATCCTTAAAGCGGGGAAGATGCAAGCTGGTGTGATTTAATTCTGAATTTGTATTTAAAGGAAAAGTCTTATCTCAAACTTTTTATATATCAGTGTGAAATGTATGAAAGCTGATTTAAACTTGGGCTTGGTTGGTTGATTGGATTCAATTGCTTTCTTGGCAAAATAATGACTTTTGGATGATCAAAATAACACAATTCCAGCAAACCAAGCTAATAATCTATGTAAAAACATGGTATATCGCACCAACATCCCACATTTTGAAGCGTAGTAGCTAGTGATGTCCCGATCACCTTTTTTTGCTCCTGGTCCAATTCCGATCATTTGATACCGATTTTTCCCGATCGGATCTTTATGCAATGCATTAAGAGAAAAAAAAGGTAACAGATAACGGCTGGTCATCCAACGCGATGAATTCAGCTATCTTGGCTGTTATCTTTTTGGCCTTTTCACTGTTCTGGGGCAGGTTCTCTTTCCTTTTAAAAGTCTCTGAAAGTGTCGGTTGTTTCAGTGCCGTTACCTGAGTGGCCGCTGTGTACTCGTCGTGTTGTTGTTGGTATTTGTTTCTCAGGTGGCGTATTAGATTGGTCGTGTTGAACGTAGACTGTTCTTTCCACCACGCGGAACCTCCGCCTTGCAAACATTGCATCTGGCTGTTACACTGCCTTCGCTTTCAATTTTATAATACTTCCAAACTCCTGACATTTTCTCTGCCGACTCCCGAGTCACCAGCTGAACGTAGCCTCTCGTTAGCTTACTGCTACTATTAGACACTGCGCCCTGCCCACTCTGTTGCCAGATTTAAGAGAAATAAGCAACCAGGTCTATGAAAACAAGCCCAAAAGAAGCAACACATACATGATGTTGTGTAATTTTAAACCAAAACTAAGGCCTCAGGATGACTTTAAGACGTGAACATGGTCATTTTTGTTTTGTAACATTAAATAAAATAATAAAAATATTTAATAAAAAATTAAAAAATCCCGATCCCCGATTTTTTTCTCCCGATTCCGTTCTTTTGAAAATCACGTGATCGGCTCCGATCCCCGATCACGTGATCGGATCGGGACATCTCTAGTAGCAGCACTGAAACCTGTGAGGTTCAGAGAGAGCCTTCAAATAAAGGTTTGGGACTGCACACAGCTCCCCTGGGGGCCCAGAAAAGATTGGTCTGGCACATCCGTTCTCAAAGAATCAGTCAATAATAGATGAGCTGAAATGGAAGCAGTCAGCAGCTTGATGTCAAATAAATGAGGAGGCAGACAGGAGAGTGAAGTGTTTTTGGGACAGGGTACCCTGCAAATGTGTGAATGTTCACATGTCTTGATTCACTGTTAGACCCCTGTGCAGCAGTGCCGTTTCTCATTTTGTAGTTTCTTTAAGTGTAACGCTGCCAGGGTAAAATGTCAGGGTGAACATTTTTCCTGTTTTATGACTGGTAAATAACAGGTAACGGTTTTTTCTTGCTGATTTCTGCAAAATGCTTCGAATCATCTGCAAGTATTGGATACATTAATCAATTAATTTTTTTGTCCATTCAACATCTTTTAACCCAAATATATTGTTTAATAACCTGTACTGTATACAACCAACCAAAGGACGAAACCTCTAAAAGCAGGACATCTTCACATTGTCTAAAACAAATAATAGGATTGCATGAATTAAACTTGTAATGGCCAATGTTGGGTACAAAAACAGACATTTTAGAAAGGTGTTTTGAGTGTTATTAAAATGTAAAAACAATGGAAATTAAACATGACTTTTTCTTTTTACCAATACATGTATTCATGATGTCTTATTTTATATCTGCAACTCAAATGTAATCCTTACTTTCTTTGGATTTGTACATTCAAAAAGAACAATCTCGCTTCCAGGTCCATAATTAGCTATCACATGACACAGTGTTTACGAAATTATCATGGAGTTCAATTGTACTGTTTCGAATCCAGCTAGACAGACACAGCCTGTGATATGGCTTCCCTGTATTGTGTGAAGTTATAATAAACCTAAATAAGTTACAATGAGCCCCCCCTCTTCATGCTCAGCTTGCTCACCTCCAGCAGAGTCTGGGGGCCGAACATATCCCAGATCTTCCTCCTCCGAACATCGATGCCCTTTCCAGGATGCTGCAACACAAGACGGCATGACGGTCAGCCGATTGCTGCGTGCAAATTCAATTACACCTGTCCTAGTTTGTGATTGGTCGTTTAAGCGACACGGTACTGTGGATGTTATGAATTCAGAGACACGAATCCCCCTCACTATGTCTCACCAGCCCTGTGTCATTGATTTGGCTGCTGGTGACGATTTAAAAAGAACTCCAGTATTTAAATAGGCAGTTTATTTGTATTTATTAGTAGTTACATTTGTTATTCCTTCCTTGTTATAAGAGGCAATTATATTCATGTGAATCCATCGTATTAGAAGTGCCAATAAAGCAAGTAGCATGGCTCTGGCAGTCGGTCCAGACAGAAGATGCAATAGTTTTCTTTCAATAAATTGATTAGACGATCTAAAGACAATCAATCGGAAACTTTTAGAATAATTGGTTCATTGCTTATGTTAAAAAAAAAAGATTAAACTGTCCTGTTTTTCTATTTGCTGTTTGATTTAATCATATGTGATAGTAAATATAATATGTTTGTTTCAACTTTTAGATGTGGCCATTAAATTCTAAAACAATAGTTGGTAGATATCTCCTGTCAAATGTACAAACCTCCACCATGGAGACACTACTGGCAATTTTCATAAAACGTTGTGGAAGGGTCAAGGAGGAACCAATTACATGTTGCATCAGATACACATTCAAGAGCGAAAGCATTCATTATTTTTCACAAGTTAACATTGAGAGACAGGGGCATCTGGCCTTTGCGGAGGTCACTGCTCTCGGGTGTGCTTCTGAGTTCAGTCTGTTGTGGGTTTTAGGTGTAGGAATTTAGTAAAAAACTAGGCCTATTAAAAAAAGGTACCACTTATCTAAATAACACCATTGTGGTTTTACTCTTACTTTTCCAGGAGATTCAGTTAGCTTTTAACCAGGGAGTAACATACTGTAAATCAAAGACAGCCAACATTCATCCAGCACGTTGCTTACCCCTTCGTTGGCCAGTATGTGAACCAGGAGGCCGTTTCCACAGCCCAGGTCCACAAATGACTGTTTTTCAGTCAGACCTTTCTCCACTCGCTCCTCCTCCCACAGCACCTGCAGTTCAGTGACAGAGATTCAACACCACTGTCTGATCATGAACGCTTTTAATCACCTGCAGATGCTGCTCACACCCTTTCACCTGCCTCTGGTGTGACGCATAAATCAATTTACTAAGCCTTTTTTCATACTCAGATTGATTGAGACTCTCTTGGATTCATGACCTTACAATATGTGACAGATACAAAAAAAGAGCTTCACCTTAACATATATGTACAGAATGGATGTGTTTGTATACTTCGCAGTGGTCATACAGGTTAAAATAAATATGAAAAGACATATTAGGTATGTTGCAAAATAACTCTCAAATCGATCGTTATAAAACAATATTCAAAACCAGGTTTGAACTCACGAGGAGATATGTAGCAATGGCAACGTCCTCATAGACAAACTTCTCAGGATCTGTAACCTCAGGCCAAACCTAAAAAGAAACATTGGTATTCAGTATTAAAAATCAAGAAATAAACAGATCTGTTGTCGCTGGGCAGACTTTACCTTGACCATGGCCTTGTACTTCTCCTTCAGCGTCTGGTACATGACGCTGTACTTCTCCACCGGCAGCAGGGACAAGGTGCTCCTGAACTCGCTGCTCTTGCACTCGGTGGCCCAGCGCACCAGCTTGGGCAGCAGATCTGAGGACAGCCAGGGCAGCCTCGGGTACGCCACGCCATCGGAGAACCACTGGTCTGAGGCCAAAACATGCAGCTCCAACGACCTGCAGAGGAAGATTATTGTTACCGTCTTAAACTTGTTTATTGTGAAGTATTGTACGATCACTAAGAATATGCATTGTATGTCATGTCAGGTGACTTTACCGTTAGCACCATGAGCACAGGGAGCTTCAGTGTTACTCTGGGTTACCTCATTTAAATTAAAGTTAATACGGGAATATGCGCTAACTGTATCACAGTAATGAAAAGGCCAGGTCTTTAATGTTGGAATTTCTCCTGGTTAATAAACCAGTATTAAGGGCGTGTCTTCAGGAGTCAAATGTCAAAATCAATTGTTAAGAATAAAGAATGTGCTGTGGTTAAAGTACGCCACAGCAAATATGGACCCTGTAGTGTTTTAACAAAGTGAGGAGGGAATGGAGAATGACTAATAAACACCCTGCCGATAACATCCCCTCTGACAATTTTGTATCCTTTTTTTTTATTTGTTGTGTTCTCTATGTTGTCTTTCCCCTGTTCCTATCATTGTTGTAGCTGTAAAGTCACTTTTGTTTTGGCTTGAATAAAAATACATTTAAAAAATGGTCATGTAAAAATGTGTTTACATTAGCCACTCACCATTCCTCACAGTCCTGATGGAGGAGCTGGAACTGATAAATGTTTCCCCTCTTGAGAGAGACCTTTCCTTCTGAATCCTCTTCAAACGGAACAAATGTCACCTGTTGTCTGCCGAAGTCTAAAATGGATTAAAGAGATATAAAGAGGTTTTTAAAGGAGAACAGAGTTTGGTAGAGCTTTTCATTCAAATCCACTCTCAGAGGTGGGAAGTAACAAGTACATTTACTCCAGTACTGTACTTAAGTACAATATTGAGAAACTTGTACTTTTCTTGAGTATTTCCATTTTATGTTACTTTGTACTCCAATACAATTCAGAGGTAAATCATGAACTTTCACTCCACTACATATATCTAATTCTTTAGTTACTTTACAGACTTTGGATTAATGATGTGAAATATAATCAACATTTAAATAAGACTTTCGTTACACCTGGAGTAAATTCTCAAACTACCCTGCAGTATACAAAGTCATTAAAACAAGCTGCACCTTTACCAGTTTTGATAACACTTAAATGCATTAATAATTATAATCAAAACATATACTATATATTATTCTGAAATGGACCAATCTGCAGAATGAGTGCTTTCATTTTTGGTACTTTAGGGATATGTGATGCTAATACTTTTGTACTTGGGTAACATTTTGATTTACTTGTAACAGAGTATTCCTATACTCTGGTACTTCTCCCACCTCTGTCCACTATTACCTTTGAGGATAACCTCCTTATGCAGGTTCGTCCCATAGTTGTTGACTTTAGGAATAAACGTCCTGACGCTGGAGACCCAGGGGGTTTCCTTCTCGTGTGTATTCTCAGGTGTGTTCCTACAGCAGGTCATGAAGGAGAGCACATCCTGAGCGAGGTCAGGCTCCTCCAGCAGCGACAGCACCGCCTCTCTGCCCACATCCCTACTCTCCGTCTCCTTCACCCCGCACAGACGCTTGTTCACCACGTGGGGTTTCTTTATCCACACGTCCACAGCTGACCAGAAACCTTCGGGAAGCGCCTTACATTCTCCTGGAAACTTTACCTCAAAGAGTTTTGGCATAATTGAGCATCAGACAGGACCACAAGCCATGTGTTTACATCTGCATACGGAGAGAAAAGGACTTCCGGTTTTTTTTTACGTAGATAAAGAAAACTAGATGAAGTGGCTTGTAGAATTAGCTCGCTTAGTTTCCCAATTCACATCCTAAGATTAAAAAACAAATGTTGAGCTTTACTATTTACGTTGTCCTAGGAAAAAGTAGAAACATGTTGTCGCGGTGTGATGACGGTGCCACTTACAGCCAATGACTGTTATTACAATCACACAGCAGAGGTCGCTGTTGCTATTTATTTCCATTAAATCAGCAGACAGTGTATGATCAAATGTATATTTTGTACAGGTTTTTTTTTTCTAACCAATAAAATAATTAAACAAACATATTCCTAAAAGCATGACCTCGCTATTTCTATTGTGATCATGATTATTCTTACATTTTTAGGATGCATACTCAGTGATGCATTGGTGCCTGCTACTCTTAAACCATAATGACCTCAATTAGACCCATAACCCTCTGGCATACTGTTGCCCTCAGGCAACAAACCACTTTTTTCGACCTCTCACTGGCCCTCTAAATATATATATATTTTTAAATATGGTTTGTTGCCTGAGGGCAACAGTATGCCAGAGGGTTATGGGTCTAATTNTGCATTATGTTTTTTAACATAGTATATTAAGTATATATTGTGGTTCTCCGTGGAATAAATATGCACTTTTTATGAAATTATTAGTTGCGTTACTGTTTTTATTAAAAACAAGTAAGGTTAATACTGCGATGTTTCGTTGACACTTGGATAGTTTCTAGTAACACTTTGCCCTACATAAATTATTCTCCGATTTATGCTTTGAGTGACTTTGCAGTTAATTGCTCGACATTCAATTCAAAACCTTTTAATTTTATCCAGTAAAGTCCATTGAGATCAATGATCTAATTTTTCAAGGCGAGACGCGCCAGTAGGTTCCACTTAATGAAGACATAAAACATACAACAGAACAGAACAACAAGAAGGACTCATTACAGCAAAAATTACAGGGATTACAATTTACATATGCTATCCACATGTTCAGCGCGTTCCAGAAGCATGCTGACTGTGGAGCATCCGAACCGAGCCTTTAAAAGCATGTGTCGGTACCAGGCTTCTGCTAATTTTTACATTCTTTTTTGCGCCTTGTTCAAGTTAGTGCGAGCTGCACATTCTAAAGCTTTTCTTCCCTAGACTAGCCTAGCCCTTGGCACATTTAAATAAACCACGCCATGAGATCTACAGGCACGATAAGTACTTTCAATTTGCCGATGGATCAGCGAGCCAGATATTAAGGATGGTACTTTTCTCCACATGGCCTTTCGTAATGAAATGTACAGTGACTGAGCCTCTCTAGTACAGTAAGTGATGGCAAAACCGCCTTTGGTTCTACAGTGCAGTCAGTGATGCGTAAGCTGATTTACAGTTTGATAACAAATCTCAGTGCACTGTGATAGTAAAACCATTATTGTGGTTGTAATTATATATCCAGCCAGTACGAAGTCAGAAAATCATTTAGGCAGGATGTTTACACTCATTTAAGAAGCCCCATTCAAAAGATGAACACATTTGCGCGACCTTCAGAGAGTGTAGTTCATCTGTCTAACATATACTAACGGACAGCTAAAGAATGAAGTGCTTTTAGGCTATGTTTAAATGCTTCGGAATTTGACACGTGTTATGATGGTCCTCTTGGTGCCGTACAGCCAATGCGTACAGCCATTGCTCCGTCTTTCATGTTTTATTTAATATGTTTTTCACATACATTTTCACTACGGGCTAGAGCCATAGCCGAATAATTCAATTTCGCGTTTCGTCATGATCTGTAGATGCTGATTTGCCCCCGAGCACCCCTGGGTAAATTACCGTACAGCCAATCACAATGCGTACAATGCGTGACGTCATTGGTAAGAGACGGCCCCCGAACACATATGGTAACCCGAACACATCTGGTACCGACACCGTATAGGTCGGCGTCTGGGTTCGGACCGCGGTCCGCCTGTTGCCGACCCCTGCCCTAGATCTAGTAATTCTACTCAAAGTGCACCAGATTGAAACATTTTACTTTAAAATGGTTATATTATTATTATAAATTCAAGGCTAAACATAACCATTTGTACAAATAAAAGAGTATCTAAATACAAGGGGTGTCTACAGTTGTGCACTTAAGTCTAGTTTATGTTACATTGTCCTTTTTTTAGATTAACTTTTTGAGATGATAAACTCTTCAATTATCATTATTACGTGTGTGTGTGTGTGTGTGTGTGTGTGTGTGTGTGTGTGTGTGTGTGTGTGTGTGTGTGTGTGTGTGTGTGTGTGTGTGTGTTAAATCTCATACCCCGCCCCGGTTCATTGCCCTATAAGTACCAGGCATTGCAGTGGGTGCCAAATATAGACTTGACAAAGAAGGCTCCTTCCTCAAATGCAGGCAACCTAGAAAATATAAAAGATGAACTGGTGAAAACCCCATAAAGTTTCGAAACATTTGTCAGATTAAATATGGTCAGAAGGGAAGTTAAATACCAAATCAGTTAATTGTGTTGTTTACAGACTTACAGACACTTGCACTGAAGGGATCACATAAGGTCATTAACTTGCCACAGGTGTGTAACCAATCGCATTAAAGATGTGAAACACCAACTGAAATAAAATGCAGCATCATTAATGTTATTTGTTACACCTGTTCTATGCTGTTACATAAATTACCTACTTATTTACTCAAGTTATAAGTAGTAAAGTGTACTGCACAAAACACAAAATACTTGAAAAAAGTAAGTTCAATATTCAGTGTCATTCTGGCTTAGCCTACTTGTTTGTTCTCTATTGTTCGCTAATTTTCTTTTAGTCAGGTATTTTGGGTAATCAAGTGCTAGCCAACATTTTTAGTAATTTAATTAAGTTATAAGTAGGGCAGGTTGTAAGTTATACATTGCGTCTATTTTGCTGTTTTGGAATCAGTAGTGAAAAAGTATTTAATTGTATTATTCAAGTAGGTCGAATTATTTAGCACACTGCTTCAGAGACACTTCAGGCCTGTTTTGTAACTGGGTGATTCTCTGAATCGGGTGCCCTTTGTGTCCCCCAAGCTTACTTCAAAGATTTTAAATGAAAGGAAACTATAAAAATGTATTTTTAAAGCACTGAATTAAGGGAACAGGGTGTTTTGCATTACAATGTAAAACTAAATAGCCTATATATATTTTTTTTGTTTTATAATAATTAGTTGTCTTTGTAGTGGACAACACACATGTTTGCATGTTCTCACTAAGCATCATCACATATTAATTGAATATTAAACAAATAACAATTGCCAATTATACCAACCTTTTGATGCTAATATAATCATAATGTGTGTGTACTTTAAATGAGAAAAAAAATATCTGAAAAAATACATGAATTATTTCGTCCACCAGTTTGTTTCAACCCCCTATTAAATTAATGGATCAGTCCATGTGACATCTGCATTGAGGGAGTGACATCACAGAAGTCTCTATTGAGGAAAAGGCGGCAAAGAAAGGCAAGTGTCCGTGTCATTTCTTACCAATATTTCATTTTTTTATTGTCAGATTGAGATTGTCAAGTTCAATATTTCAACTCTGTTGTATGAATGACTTATAGTAAACAATTATTTAGGACAAATTAAACAATAGTTTAGCAAAATATTACAATTTTATGATGTCCTTAAATTCCATGTGGTGCTGTCTTAGCATGGCTACTTTTTGCCAAAAACTTCAACCCCTTCACATTTTTTCAAGGAAATTCCGAGTAATTGTATATATTTTGTGCCTGAGGTGGGAACATTTGTTTTCTCAAAGTTTTAAGTAGTCCACTACCAGATTTTATGATCAAAAATGCAAAAAATGTAAAGACCCAAAAGGCACCCGATTCAGAGAATCACCCAACTATGATAAGTTACCATTGTATGCTAACGTGAAGGTACTTCACTACATTTGAGAGGGGGAAAAAGCAAAGTATAAACCATTGTTTGACACGATTTTACTTTAGTTTTTAGCTAACATTTACCGACAGCTGAAACGTTAATGTATACACTATACACAGGTTTTACAGTTATACGGTTATACAGGTACAGAACACAAGGCCTGCAGCTTTCAAGATATTACCCCAGACTATTTCATGATAAGAGTCCGATAAGGCTTCATCTATTTTTCGGCAGAATAAGTAGGATTACCTAACTTTGTATTTCTATACAATGTTTGGTTAATACTTGGAGTTGTTTCTGTATTGAATGTCGTTTTTTATTTGAGTATACTTAAATGTGCCTGTCATTACTGGGGTATTGGCGTCCTCTCGTGGTTGGTGCTAACACTGACAGACCCGCCCACTTTAGTTACTGCTGCAGTTAATAACATGCTTCCATTCCATGATCCAAGTCTCCGTAGGCGACAGCCAATGCGATACTAGCTAATTGATAACTCTAATATTTATAAAAGGAAGAAGTAGACCGAAAACTAAATAAAGGTCGTATGCAAGGACGCACGAGCCTAAAAGTGGGAGGGGAACATACAACATATTGATAGGAGGGAGGAGTGACAGCAGCAGAGCGGCGACGAGGAACAGGTTAGGGAGAAGCCGAGAGAAAAAATCCTCTTTGGCCTCTTTATTGGACAATTCCCCCCCCACACCTTGGATTTATTGGTTTTCACTGTTATTTGTCTAATTGGGACTGATAAGTAACCCGCTGCAAGAGAGGTGAGAAGTCTGCGTTATTTACATATTTTGTTCTTGTCAAAACGTCAAGGATCAGAGGGCTTTATCTGGGTTTAACAGACGTGTTTTGCGGAAATAGAGAGGGGAGGGCTATGAATGTGAGTTAAAAAGTGATCTATTCAAAGACACTTGTTTTTAAACCTTGTCTTAACCGGACCCCTGCTTCTGCTAAAACATGTCACACCCATTATTTTATAAATAAAAACCTGCTGCTTCAAGAACAAAAGAGTTGCCCTTTAGTTTCCATCACATCACATGGTGTTTCTGGCTGAAGGACAGACTGGTCTTATGAACTATGTTGTAAGCTGGTTGTAAACATGCAACCATTATGAAAAAACATTCTTAAAGAATAATAGAAGTCTCTTCACGTGATTGTGGTTAAATGTTGCTGGACTGTTTTTAATGGTCACTTTCTGTTTAGTAAACCCCCACCCTTTTCCGCTTTCCCACCCCCTCCCACCCCTACCCCCCCTTTCCCTTTCATTCCTCCAGTTTCCCATAGAGACTGTGGGACAGGACAGGGAAGTACAACCTCCTTTACTCCGAGCCAAGGGAAGATTCATCCAACTCTTCGCCATGTCTGCTCCTGGTAAGAAGCTTGAAGTGTGGAGCAACCAAGAAGTCCTTTCAGATCTGCAGTTTGAATTTGAAGGCAGAAAATGTGAAGTTCATTAGCTTCTACTTCACTTTTTTTAACAGTTTTACATGTTAGCTTAAGTACCTCCTCTTTTTTCAACCATGCATGATTTGCTGCCGCTCTGGAAATGATTAGGTGATGAAGTGGAAGTTTCCATTAGGCCTTCCCTGAGCATCATTTTGACATGAACAGGCAACCTGTTCAACTCCCAGATTCCATACTGGGGGTTTTAGGAATGTTATCTTTGCCAAATTGGTGAAATCTGAAATAAATCCCCAGAATGCTTTGCACGCAACCTGAGTTGAAAAACATGATTTTGGCCGTTGGTACAGCATACTCCTCCCTCTGGATGGAAAAGAAAAGTTTAGGAGGTGAAAAGGTAACATTGTGTGGGTGTGTCTGTTTGTGTAAATACACGAGGGCTGCCGTCCTGCTAACTTAAGGTTTAACATTTGGGTTCGTTTCCTGCTAGGAAAGGAATGTTGAAAGAGGTGGGGCAACAACAAGCCTCTAAGTTCAGCAAGCAGATTACTCATGTCCTCCTTTTCACTCTTTAGACATGGCTTTAATCCACATTTGTTTTGAGATTAAACATCACGTATATTAAACGGAATGCTAACCTATGACCATGATATTAATCCCACTACGAAAAGGACTTTTAAGACTGGTTTTTGATGGACTGTCCTGCTATGACAACAAAAACCAGTCTGGTCAGCTATGATACTGACTCCAGTGCATGGCACAAAGATAATGCTTAACACATGGTGTCACTATGACTAGTAGTCACACATAGGAGTGACTTAGATTGGGGCGATTTAAAGAGTCCCTATTATGCTCATTTTCAGGTTCATATTTGTAGTTTGTGCTTCTACTGTGACATGTTTACATTCTTTAACGTTCAGAAAGTGATCTATTCTTCTCATACTGCCTGTTGTGTGAAGATAAACAAAGGTAAAAGACAATACAGGACTGATACAGATAAAGGACAACAATTAGATGAGTAGACTACATATCCATGGTAAACAAAATAAGCAGAAAAGTAAGTGCACATGAAATAGTAGTTAACTGCCCCGAAACCCTAAGCCCCCCGCCCACTCAACAGGTTTTTACCGTTGAAACTGCCTGTTGATGTGCTCCCCTGCAAGTGCTTCCTCTCTCCTCTGTGGCTCGGGTAATAAGTAGCTTATTGGCTCTGTGGTAACAGCAGAGAGAAGAGGGGATGATCCGCAGTAAACACGCACTCTCTCACACTTGCGAGCACAACGCGCTGCTATCAGGACACACAGATCAGGATTTCCTCCGTGTATACCACCGTTGTGTTTGAATTAGCTGCGTTTTTGTCTACAGCTTTTCATTTGATTAGGTAAGAACTTGCACTTGTCTGTGACGTCTGATAACAGTTTTTAGATACTTGTGTTTTTCTGTGTAATTCTATCCTTAATGTATGTTATGTTTGTGTTTATAATGTTGATTTTTATTTCTTGGTTTTGTTCCTAGTTTGAGTTATTTTAAACCATCTTATTATGCTTTGTTAATGTTCCAAGGTTCAGTTTGAATGTGGTTTCCTACTGTTACAAAACCACGACTGTGTAGCTTCTTTAAAATATTCGTATTACTTCTGTCAAAAGACTGAACAGGATCATTCGTTCGATCAGTTGTGATGTCATGTAATGATTAACCTGATATCAAAGTATCTTTTTCCCAGGTTACCCAGGCCCTTACAACAACCCACCCTACCCCATGGCTCAGTACGGCGACAAATCGATAGCCCCTTATCCCGCTCCTCATGGGGGGTACGGAGACCCCCATCAAGCCCCTCCACCAGGCTTCAACCCGGGCTACAACCAAGGCCCGCCTCCTGTCATGTATCAGCCTGGCCCTGTCCCGGAGTACGGTGCCCACCCCGGAGCCATCGCCCCCGCCATGGCAGCTGCGGCCCCTATCGGCGTGCCCCCGGGGCTGGAATACCTCACACAGGTAGGAGGGGGAAATCACGTGGAAAAACTTAAATAGCCACTGCATTTCACTTGGACACCACACCTTAACATCTGGAATTTGTACTCTGGAAGCGTCATAGTTATTCTTGATAAGACACCTGTTGTGGCCTGAGGGCTCCCTATTGTTAGCAGTTGTGAACAGGTCTAGAGGGAACATCCAAATCCTTTTTCACACCTGACGTTGAAAAAGCTGCTGTAATTGGTTAATCTTCTTGTACTGCTTAGTTTATTGCACGTCTCGAGATCTGAATTCAAATCAACAGTAAAGTTACAGTGGATGGTCATTTAGTAAATGACAGTAAAACAGGTTATTTGGCTTTAGTTTGGGCACTTAAATATCAATTATTATTCCCAATTAAATAAAATATAGTATGAACTCAGTCATCACAACCTTTCAAATGTTTAAGATTATTGTCTCACAAAACTGTAACTGTAAGTTTCCTTATTTGTACATACTAACCTACATGTACTCTTCATCAAACAAAGACACGGCAAATGAATATTAGTGAGATCTCAGACGAAAAAGGAACATCATCTGTAAACACTGAGTTTGCATGTGAAAGTACTCAGCCCCTCCGACTGTACATGACTAAGCTGAAACTAGCATTGAGTCTGCGGCTGATGCTAATTCATGAAAGAAGCTGCTTTGCATTGCAAATAAGTTATTATATAATCGCAATTTCCTCTTTGTTTTAAGACTTTTAGATGAACATATTTTGTATTTTGTTACCTGTCTGACGCTGTTTCTCTTGTGGTTTTAGATTGACCAGATCCTGATCCATCAAAAAGTGGAATTACTAGAAGGTAAGATTTGTTTAGTTGATCCATTCATGCGGTATCTACACTTGTCACTTTGTACTGTGAGCAGCACATAACCCTCAGCAGTTGTTCAGCTTTGGCGAACTTTAAACCTCTCACTATAAATCAAATGATAACGTGTCCCTGGAATTCCTTACTTATCTACCCTTTGTTATTCACTGTTTCCACCCGTTTCCCTTTCTCCCGCCCAGCATTCATCGGGTTTGAGACCAACAACCAGTACGAGATAAAGAACAGTTTGGGCCAGAAGATCTACAACGCCAAAGAGAAGAACGACTGCTGCACCAGGAACTGCTGCGGCTCGCTGCGCAGCTTCGACATGAAGATAAAGGACACCATGGACCGGGAGGTGATCCGCATCATACGGCCTTTCCGCTGCGTCTCCTGCTGGTTTCCCTGCTGCCTGCAAGAGGTCAAAATCACTTTTAATAGCCTAACATTGTATTGATGTACCACACCAAGACCAATATTGAATCAATAGTTCATTAGGATTACTCACTGATATCTTTGTTATCATATTTGCTCGTAGTGTGCCAAGATAACGTGTTCCATTAATGACGTTGTTAATACCTAACCTTATTGAAGTCCTAAAGAGTTTCCAATGGAAAATAACTTGATAATTCATAATCAAGCTTTACTGGTTAGGACAAAAAAAACACCCAGGAAATCAAAACAAACCACAAATTGCTATATTATATATATATTTTTTTGCTAATAGCCTTTTCCTTTAGAGACAGATCTTGGCATTATTATCCCAGATTTTGAGACATCTCTCGCTGATATTTCTTCTGCCACATCCTTATGTCAATGTCATGTGCCCAGAGCATTCAACATGCATCAGCAATTAGGCTTTCTCGAAACAATGTCCCGTGTTGCGCTACATTCCGTTTTAACGTCCACTATTTGAACCAACAGTCCCATTAGGAAACTGTTGATGCGGTGTGTAATGGGGTCATCGGGTAATTTCTGGCAACTTTTTACCCCAGCAAAGTTACAAAGCCTCTAATAGCATTGACTAAACATACACATCTGCTCCCTCATAGCTCTCAGAGGCTCATATTCAGAGGCTTTTGTCTTGTGTTACTGTTGAGTTTCTGAGTGGCGCTTGGATGTCTTTGTGCATCAGTGTGCTCAGGCAGGGTTTTGTTAAGACTATGAATGGCCCTTTGTCCGTCCAAACTATCTCCTAGACTCCCCCGATCCTCTGCAACGGCTCTGAGAAAGCTCTCTCTCAGTCTAATCTCATCTCTGCATGGTATGTTCCCATTGGATCGAACCCAAGCTGCACAAACGGCGGTTCTGTTCAGACAGGAGCCATGTGAGATGTGTTACCTTTGTAACGCCACAATGAAGCAGTGAGAATCAATTATCAATCCTGCTGTCCCGTGTGACATTTGAGGCACGCTAACCCCCGTGATGTTGTATTTATAGCTGTCAGGAAGCCTTTTCAATCCCTCTGCGATAACGTTATAATTATATGGCATGTTTGTATTTAATTATGTTTGTGACCCACAGATGGAGGTCCAGGCACCGCCGGGCACCACCATCGGCTACATCAAACAGGACTGGCACCCCTGCCTGCCCAAGTTCTCCATCCAGGGACCTAACAAGGAGACCCTGCTGAAGCTGGACGGGCCCTGCTTCGCCTGCAACTGCTGTGGGGACGTCAACTTTGAGGTGAGGCTATCTGACCGTTTTGTTAGAAAAGGTCAAGAACGCTCATATCTGTCCATTAGATATGAAGCTACAGACAGACCTTTGTACACAGCAAGGCTAGCTGTTTCCTGTTTTGATTTCAGTATGCAAAACTTAGCTAATCTCCCAGTAGCTTCACATTTATCAGAAAAAGGGATCATTTATTCTTATTTTGGGAAAAAGATAAAAGGGTAAACATGACACACATCCATGGTTAAAAGCAAGAAGCAGCAATACTGAAAAGTGAACATATGAAAGTGGTTAAGTAGCAGACAGTTATAAGTATGGTTAAAAAAAGGTGTATATTGCACATAGAATTGTTATCTTACCAACATGGGTGGTTTCAATCTCTGTAAGAAAGTGAGTCTAATTTCCCAAATATTTATTTAAATGTACATATTGACACTTTTAAGTTTTGCACTTTTAGTAAATAACATTATAGGATGTCAGTATAGTTCGCTTGACAAGCCGTCCTTAAGAAGTTGTTCTTATTCCTCTGCAGCTGAAGAGTAAAGATAGTGACAAGCCGGTTGGTCGCATCAGTAAGCAGTGGAGCGGCCTTCTGAAGGAAGTCTTCACAGACACGGACAACTTTGGCATCCAGTTCCCGCTGGACATGGACGTGAAGTTGAAAGCTGTTCTCATGGGCGCCTGCTTCCTCATTGTAAGTAACTCGGTTATTTTGATTTGAATAGCAGCAATTGTTTTCTAAATATGTGTCTAAAGAGGTCATTTCCTTCTGTGTTGCCAGGATTTCATGTTCTTCGAGAAGGTCGGGGAGGCCAACCAGCGCAGCTCTGTGTTCTCATAAAAGGGGAAACAACAGCATGGGAGCAATTGACAGTTATGCATTCACAGTTAATCTACTTGTATGTAGATGTATTTATTTTTCAAATCATTCCGTCTATCAGATTCCAGCCAAAACGGTGCCCACACACACACACACACACACACACACACACACACACACACACACACACACACACACACACACACACACACACACACACACACACACACACAGACCAAAACCAGCTAAAGAACTCTGACTCCAGATGCCTGCCAGGGATTGTTTTTTAAATATTTCCAAACTCAATGATACTGCGCCATGTTGCTCATGTTCTTTACACTCCATACAGTGTGTAGTTTGACCATTTTGAATGAATGAACGTACCTCCAGCTGAGATATTATCTCTGCCAAAAACAGTCAACCTTACCCCTCAAGTGCCTACAAAAATACAAAAATAGTGGATGTCAACATGTGTTTAGATGTGCTTTATGCTACACTGGCATTAACATTTCATATGGATGCCTTATGCTTATCATCCCACTTTACTATTTTTTATGGAAACGAGCAATAGATTTATGGAAGTGCAATACCGTTCTGGCTGTATACGCTGTATTAATTGCCTTTTATATTTAGCTATGCTATCTGCTATTTTGTGTTTAATGCTAATGAGCTAATTATAGCATGCAAATGAGCTAACTAAAAAGGTGAACATGGTAAACATTATACTTGCTTTATCTGTTAGCATTGTGAGCATGTTAGCATGGTAGCTTTAGCTCAAAGCACTGATGTGCCTTAGTCATTTTATAAGTTAACAAAAGCTTTATATAAAACGTAATCATTAGCAAGAATATATGCTCATTATTTAGTGTGTATAGGGAAGTGGTGGTTATGTTAGCAGAAGGATGGGAGCATGTTTTTATTATTGACAGTATTTACCAAAGTGCTCTTTCTTTCTCTCAAAGTGAACATAATACAATTGTAGCATAGCCTACAGTGTCAATGCTCTAATGCTCCCTCTGTGGTTAGCTGGTTGCCTTGGAGACGGAAACCACAGCCAGACCTTGCCCTCCTATTCTCCAGATGTCACTGCCTTGAACATTCACGTGAACTGAAATGGGAGAGTGTAGGTTAAGCAGGGATATCTTGAGAAAGGAAAAGAAAGTAAATAAAAGGCAGAAACTGAGGTTAGTGAATATTATTTTGACTACTCAGTGGTTGGAAAACCCTGGTCATTGGCAGGTTTAAGGAAACACGTCGGGTTTCCGTAGTGTTGCAGGTTAATGTTTGGAAATGGCTGCTGAATGCAAAGCTTAGTATGTAATTGTTCTTGTGAGATAACATGGGTGTGCCTCCAGTGAGGCTTGTTGCCACTAGTGCTCTCATGTATGTACTGTGTTTTATATGCGTGTGTGATACCCTCAGCCTTTGAGCTTGCTGACCTTTGATAAGGAAAGGGAAAGGAGCCAAAGGATGTACAGTACCTTCACTGTAATTACTTTTTTGTGTGATGTTTAAATTGCTTCTTCTTTGGCATTAGTTTCCTATTTCTATCATAATTCTATACAATTTATTTTGTCAATATAATTTTTCTACAGATCAAAAGTACCCTGTCCTTTAAAAATAAATCATAAACCATTGAATCCATTGTTATGGTGTTGTGTCCTATCGCTACACTTATTGTCAGGGAGAGTTTTGGGAATGCTCTGTCTAAAGACTAAATGTGGAACATCTGGTTTCACATGGAAAAAATGATTCAAAGGGAAATCCCGTCTAATTCTCTGCAAAAACATCAGCTCAAAAGTCCTGCTCTGCTTTAGGTACTGGGCAACATGCACATAGTGGTGTCCATATCAGCTTCCTTTATCTATCTAACCTATTTTAGATGCAACAAAGGGTAACAAACCTCCTCTGGTCACATATTGAATATCATACAGCTCCACCCTCTGGGAAAATATGTAAAATACAAGAAGTGTGGACATGTCCATCCAATGCTGCTGGGAAATAACTCAAATTCAAATATAATTGAGGCTTACAGACCTTTGACCTTGCATTCAGGAATATGTAAGGCTTTATATTTAATAACACAATAAAGACACTTAATCTCTCTGAAGACCAGCTGGCTCATATATCACACAGCAGCTGAGTACAAAGACAACGTAATCATTTTATTTAATAAAACAATCATTTCTAATACAATATTTACACATTCATTAAGATACAAAAAACTATGTTCACCAAATGTGCTGCTGGAGAGTATCATTCAAATACAAAAACAGTGAGCCAATTTCTGCTTAATTTTTTCATTTTACATTGAAAGACCTTCACTTTTATATGACCTCCTATCTGTTCCCGCGTCGAGGTGGTCAATGAAAGGTTTTTTTGGCAGCTTCCAGTTCCAGAATTATTGCTGAAAAAGTCAACCATCTCAGGAAAATCAAAGGTAAAATCAGCCAATAAAGAACACTTTAGACGCGCCTTTCTGCGCTTATTTGCGCTCGCTCCCTGTCCCCGGGGCCCGGCCTGTCGTCCCGGGACCAACGGATCAGGTATCTGCTGGCCAGCTGCAGGTTCCACTGGTATCTGGAGAGGACCCTCAGACAGTCCTCTCTGGAGCACAGGCTCAGCGAGTACAACTGCTCCAACTGAAAGACACACATCAAGGGAAAATGGATCAGGAGCGGTTATCAAAAATATACCTTTGTCGAGACATGAATCCATTGACTCTGCCTTCATTTATGGAGACAAAGCAAACAAAACCAGCTGGTTATCTTTCTGAGGGTTCCAGGCAGGTTTCACTTCTGCCTGGACCTCACGCACCAGCAATCAATTGCAAAAACTCAGCTCAGAAAATTGCACACAAGTTCCCTATTGATGATATAATGAGCTTAACTGTGAGAAACACCAACACTTAAATATGCAAATGATTTAGTTAGTTGTTTCCAATTGGATTTGATCCCTGCTTGGTATAGAACTTAAATGAAAGTCTTGCTAAGTCCCTGGGGTGGCTTTACATTTTTTCACTGCCTGGATTAACCTATAATGTGAACCCAACCCTGGCCACATCCCTCTACCCATATTCCAGATAACCCCAAGGTTTCACGCAGGACTATTTAAATTGTTATTTAAATATTTAGACATATGCAAAATTATTTAAATAATACAAATATCTACATTACAACACAGGACCCTTTTGCATGATAGAAAGGCAACTGGTGCATGTCCCATGTGAAATACTGTACTTTGGTGGGGAAAACTCCCTCATAAAATGTAATGACCAAATCCAGTTGACATGCAGTGAGTTATATTCTAGGTCCCCCACACCCAGTTGCTCATGCAGTTTTGTATTTCTATATGTGATATTGTACTTATTTCAATTGAGTCATTTTGAATTGAGGCTTAAAAATGTTCAGTTTTCCACAGCAATATATCACTAAGTTTTGCCTATTTTATATTTCAGTTTATTTTCTATATTGATTGTATCTCTTTATTGTTTTCTATAGGCTACTGATATTTCCTTTAATATTGTTTATATTTGTCATTCCATGTTCTGACCTTGAGTTGTTGCTCAGCTCGCAGCGGGTTCCAGTCACTACGGTGAAGGGCAACATGAACCTCTTCAAGGGTCACTCCGTGAACGGCCTCCATAACCTGGGAAGAGCAGAGCAACAACAGCATTGCTTCATTTAGAAAACTGAACACGTTTAACACAGAAAAGCAAACGGATTATCCTGTCAATCAGCGGTTTACCTGTGCGGTGAGACTTTCTCTTGTATTCTGCATATGAGGGGACTTGTCTCTCTCTCTCCCTCTGTCAGGGTGATCATCCAGCTGGGGGGTGGAGCGTGTCAACTGGCTCATCTTGGCCAGGTTGGTGCCTCCGATGCCCTGTGGAGGTGGGGGTGGGGGTTGAGCTGGAGGCTGGGATGGAGGGACCATGTTCACCTGGGCAGGCCATGTGGTGCCCGGCACTGGGTGGATTGGGGGTTTCCTCTGAGGTTTCATGTTGAAGCGGTTGGGGTTGGGGGGGGCGGGGGGCGAGGAGGTGGGTTGACGCTGGCCTCGCTGAAACGCCGGGGGTCCTGCTGCATCAACAAATTGTGAGCTGGGGGCATGAGTCTGCCGTGCTGATCCACTCTGAGCGCGCCCACAGTCTGAGATCGGGGGCGGGATCCACCCATAACGGACTCTAAACTAAGAGACAAACCTGAAGACAGGGGCAAAAGGAATTTTTTTTAATTATAAAGCAGTTCTCCTAGCTGAGATTGGATGTGGGAACGGATAGAGACACTAGAGGGCAGAGTGGATAAATACTTCCTGGATGGATAAGATGCTTATAGTGATAGCATAACAAACAGCTACAGCTTTCAAAAATACAAAAATAGAGTGTGTGAAGAAATAAATGGACAAAAAGCATTATTAGCTATATGTAAAATAGTTTTAGAGGGGAAAACTTCTTATAATAAAAATCTAATATGTTATCCTATGTAACAAAAAAAAATATTCTCCCATTCTTTGTATTTCCACAAATTAAATAAACTAATTTTGATTTTATACGCAAACATTCATCTGTTTGCAACTTGCAAATGATTTATCTAATATATCATATTCCATTTACTATTTCTATTAACGTTGCACTGTTGGAGGAGCCTTACGTTTTTCATTGCCAAATCTACACTGTAGCTAACGGGCAAATGAGAATAAAAGCCTTGAATCTTCCATCTTGAATGAGCCGTTGCTTCTTGTGTAACCTTAACCCCTGAATGCTCTCAGTGTCAGCTATAACATATTTCCCAATTCATTTCTGTAGAGCATATTTTACAGTTGATGTCATCACACATTTTAGAACATTGATGTTTGGATCATGATAAAATGTCTCTGATATGTTCGTGCATCTTGCAGCTTCACTCACTCCATTCCGCAGCCGCTTTTTTATTTGCATTCCCTACCTGCCATATTCTTCAGATTGGAGCCCTCCTTCTCCCTGCAGAGGCCTGTCCTCCAGTTGCTGCACAGGTCAGAACAGTACACACATTAGTCAGACAGCCTCACACTAACTTTATTGTTGACTGACAGCAGGTCAAAGTTCAGCGCTGCACTGTTGTTAGCAATAAAACACAGTGACTAATGGGCCTGAGATGGACGTTCTATTTCTGAAGCTGGTTATGTAAAGGGAACTTGGAAATCACAGCTAACAACTCTTTTTCTCAGTTTTGAAGTCTTTCGTAGGGCAACCAATAACTGAGGAAAAATGAGGCTACAAAGGAATAAAAGGCCCGCCCACACTAAACAGTTTACAGTATATTGTGAAAAACAGCCAGTCCAGATGAATCTCTGGGCCTTTTCCTCTTGTCACATGGTGTCATGTTATCAGCAAGTAATTTGACTCACTGTCTATGAAAATGAAACCTATATGAGATCCTGACTACTTTATCACTTTGCTGAGTCTGTAAACTATCATTCATGAGTCATTTTATTGCCATGTAAGTTCCAGTTTATCACATACTTAAATTTGATCCCTGCAGTCAATTCAAAACTTCAACACAAAGTACTTTCAGTTTAGCGTCAATATAGTTTGACAGCAGACAATTTTGATCACTAAAGAACAATGATGTGAGTTTTTGTTGTTCTTCAGAGCAGATTTTGCACCATTGTGTGATCGGATTTGTTTTAGACGAGAGTAACGAATAACTGACTTGTCCAGGTTCTCAGGTGTCCCCCTGCAGAACTCAGGTTTGATGTCTCCATGAGCGACATGCAGCAGGCTGCCTCTCAGCGGGGTTGAGATGTAAGGGGTGGAAGCAGGGTTGGATCCATTGTTGTTGGCAGCAGCAGCAGCAGCAGGGGGGGCGGCAGGAAGTGACGGCACGGTGAGACTGGCAGGGAACCAGCCCACTGTCAGGGTCCTCTGGTTCTGACCCTTCCACTCACACAGCTCCAGACTGCACAGAGAGAGACAATAGTTGAACAGAAACAGCTTCATTTGTTTAAAGTGAACTTTCACTTCTACTATAACAGTGGAACAAGTAGGCATGTGCCTTAAGCTTGGAATTAGAAAGCATAAGATACTGGTAATACTAGATCGAGTAAGTCTGTGGCAACAAAACCCCTGAATGTAACTTCACTTTTCATTTTCTAAGAGGATAGATGTGTTCTTTTTTTCTTTTTAAAGTTACAAAGTCTGGCTTTAACTGGCAGAAACTGTCCGGTTCCTAGGAGGATGCATGTGATGTTGTGTTACCACCAGACTTCCTTAACTTCTCTAAGCCGTACTTTAGAAGAGTTAAAGGCTAAATAACACCTCCATTTACAAGTGTTGCAACAATTACTGTAATAAGTGGACTTCATGATTAGATACACAAAAAATATTGCATACATTGACTCATAAAATGCTTAATATAAATGGCTTGAGCTTGAATAATTCTGTACCGCTGCGTGTGTATTTTAATTTAAAATACACACACTTTGTTATTAATAACAATGCCTACAGAGTTGAATCGTGGTATATTATGTATTCTTACACCGGTTTATTTTACTTGCACGTTTCAATGCATGACTAGGGGCCCTTCCAGAGGCTGAATAACAATAAAGAAAGTTATGTTTTGAAATACTTATCAAGGTGTATTTATTGCTGAATGAAGAT